GCCTATGCAATCAACATTTTACAATAAAATCAATGCAACAAAATGCCATCCAAAAGACCAGTTAGGTTTACCACAAGCGAAACATGCATTTTAGTGAGTCAAGTTTTTCCCTTTCTGCAAATCTGATGCACCGTTCAATTAAAATTCAAAGACTAACCACAGCTGGACGCAAATATGTCGCCGAGCTGGCACTCTATTTATTCTACAACAGTCTGTTCTATCTTACTACAAGGAAACGTATACGATGGCATGTTCTAGCAATCTTTCATCCCAGATACTTAATCTCTTCTTGGAGCATATGCAATTCTGCAAGCAATTCCACACAAAACCAACTCCGAATAAAAATACACACTTACGAAATCGCGACTACGGCAAAGATGAGCGAAACAATGTCGAAACGCATAGATTTCCAATTGGAGCATATGCAATCTTGCACGCATCTTTGGACAAGCCGGAACTACAAAGCAAACGTAAGCACTTTCGCACATTAAACTCAAACATCACAGCCTCTGTTACTTATTTGAGTGGAATCCCAAACAATTGGTTCTTCATTCAGAGAAACATTGAAAACTGCCTCCAATCGCATTTGTCTGCACTACAAACATTCCATGCTCCACGTCCTCCATCAACATACTGCAGCCTCATCCGGCCACGGCACATTACTCGAAGTCCCAAGGCCACTAGGCAGCTGTCTCATGGTGACAATTACACTTTTATTCTATACGCACTCATTATAGCATCCCAACTACAACCATGTTGACACCCTGCAATCACACCAACACATTACTTCAAGACCCAGTTTTAAGTTCAAATGAACTTGACACTACCAGCCATCAAATACAGTCACAATGAAGGCTTCTGCTTCTAAATACGCCAATGAATACCTCAAAAGTGTCCTATTTATAAACACCAGTGCCAAAAAACTCACTCATTCCGTGTTTGTCGGCAATGTACTGGAGGAGTACTTCGGTTTGTGTCAACTTCAAGTCCCCATCAATCAAGTACGGTAGCTGCGTAAAAAATGTCTATTCAAATCAGAATCTTACTTTAGGAAAACCCATTTGTACTGAATCGCGTATCAACGTAACGTCGCTGGTATCTATCACATTTTCTAAGCAACGGTGAATAAATGCAAAGTGTGCGGGTTACCATCACCGCATTGGTGTATCTTGTCTTCAAAATCCTCCCCAAAATAACGAAGGAGGAGCCGACATGACTCAACATTCTACAATGAAC